ATCGGTAGATGCCTAAAAGAATACTGTCAATCTTAATGTTAGCTTCAACTATCCTACAGGACTTGTTAAAGACATCTTTTTTTACCCGTGATACAGCAATACATCAGTCTTTTGAACTGATGCTTTGCTACCGTACAACAATGACGACCAAGGGAAAGAAGAAAAATAAGAGGAAGAGAACGGGGTCTTACAGTAAAACCTTAATAATCTAAGCAAAGATTCAGCGTCAAGGGGATTGCACCTTGTGTTTATAACATACCGTCACAAACAACTAGTTAACGTGCAAAGATAAAACAGCATCAGCGAAACAACTTCCTTTCACAGCCCCGAGTCATAATCAGCCATTAAGCTGCACATAACTCAGCACCAAACACACGTTAAACATGCAGTCTGATTAGGAGACCGCAGCAGACGCTCCACTGTTGCCGACTGCCAGCCATGTCCTGTATAATCACGAGTCAAGCACAAAGCGAGTAACGTGGGCACCAGCCAGGGAGGCGAGACGGTCCGACGGCATCAAGTTTGGTCGTCAGTGACTTCATTTTCCGCAGCCAAGTCAACCAACGTTCACCACAACCCCTGTGCCATCCTACATCTAGCAGACAAAACAAGGTCCTTCTCGGTGAGCGGTGACCGGGCATAATACGTATTACGTGCCCAAGCCAACGCAACTTAATGCTAACTGTTGTTCTTAGGAACTACTTTGAGTATCACTGCCTAGCATTCGCCTACGCATATCATCGTTGCGGACATGTTGGTGCCACCCGACAGCAACATTGCTGCGCAGACAGCCATGAACAAAGACTTGAAGGCACCTCAGTTCTTCAGACCAAATGGGCCGTCTTACTCCCATACAGTAGGACAGCTCTAACTTTGACCTTGTAAACATAGTCTTTTAGACGAGGGGAAAACAGTATCTGTCGCCAAAGATATTGCGGATTATAAAGGCAGTTCTGGTTTTACAATATGTAAATTGATCTCAATAGTTGTGCGCCCATCGTTACTGATACAGCTACCAAGGTAATTGAATTGATCAACTACCACAAGTTCTTCGATATCTAGGATTAAAACGTCATCAAGTGACTGGTGGTCCTGCAGAAAGATGGTAATTTGCTGATGCAAAGCGCATGCCGAATAACGGGACCCCACTACAAATGATATTCATGGTGGGTTGCACGGCCTCAAGGTCGTTAGAAAACAAGACAAGATCGTCCGCATGATTTAAATCAACTAGCACGCCACCAACACGCGCCTCGACGCTGCTTCGTGAGACTCTGCATGGCAACAATCCATGAAGGAGTCCACGACGAAATTGTACAAAAATTTGGAAATGAGGCAACCATGGATAACGCCATTTGTTGTCGGGAACCCATTCGACAGTTCACCGTAGACCTTGTCAGTGATTTTAGTGTTCGAGTACAGAGCACGTAAAATGTTCACATATTTCATAACAACACCTTTCTGAGGAGGTATTTTGAACGAAATGCATCGATTGATTGAATACCTGGTGAGTAACCAAATTCTCGTTCCGGAATAGCTCGAATTTCGCGAAAATCGGTCCTGCACCCTTAGCCTGTTGATGGCTCGTACAAGCTGTATGGAATCTGTAGACGCTGATGTGTGAGTAGGTGTAGCCTGCCTGGCTTTCTCAAATGCATTCTACTGCCTAGAACATCGCGTTCTACCGCATAAACTTTAATTATAATATCAGCGATCCCGTTATATGATGTAGAAGTGACTTTCTCGCTAAATGTCACCTGCATGTGAGGGTTTGCACCACACAATCGGAAGCAATCGATGTTCAGTTCAGCCAGCATCAGGACTCTGTACTCGGCCTCGTCTGCTCCCAGTCTGCATAAATGATCTCGTAAGGTGCTGTCTTCAAACTGTTTACTATTTGCTGTTTACTAACGTTATGGCGTGTTATCGCTTCGGGAGGATCACACAGCCCTACAGGATGAGCTGGGCAAAGTGTACACATAATCCATCGAGAATATGTTGCATTTCAATGTCACCAAGTGCAATATCGTGGATATTCATTATCGAAATACTCGCAACTGCTGCCTACGATCACAAATTCCTCTGGCTTCCGCAGATGTCGCAAGTGTGCAATGTTAGCTTCCTTGTCCAAGTGGATCTTGGGTGTTGGAAGCCGGGTGAAAAGGTATAGTTAAAGTGAACCAGTACTCTATCCTTCTTTGTTGAGCTTTTGGAACGGTTGACACCCCAGCCTTACAGAAAAGGTTTGGAGAGGACGTGAGGAAACACGGACTACGCTATACAAGAATGGCAGCTCCAGCAGAAACAGTACTTCACCGCGCTCGATGCTGCACACCGCAAGAAAACATAGAAAGTCAGAGGGTAGTCCCGCCTACCCTACCATACCCACTCCGACTGAAACTACAAAATGGCAGTGGTAGTTATCGGCGTCTACGGGGGTATCTCATAATGACAAGTGTCAGCTACTGAAAAAAATAAATCACAATTGCCACTGTTTTCGAAACTCATTCAAATACGTTTATAGGATGTCATCAGTTTATGTTGACCATACACTACAACAGGCTGGAATGTCGACTCAACTTTTTCTTCTTCCAAGTCTCATAGCCCAGGAACGCTCCACCATGGTAAGTAAGGAGTGCTAACGCTTTGCCAATTTTCATAAAAACTGTTTGACCATGCCGTTACATATTTGTACTAAATGATATAGCCTAGGAGAATCAAATAATGGCATTAGTGCGCAACAAACAGTGGACGGTGTCATAATCATCTTAAACTCCAAGCAGTAATACTGACACACGTATATTCCAAAATCCTTGGAGAGCCATGTATGCCACAAGAGCCCTTACTAACATCTATTTTGAAATCGTTTTAAATTTTCCCATTAACCATCCTGTGGACATGTTAAGCATTTATTTTTATGTCCATCTTAAATAACTTTTCCTTTGCTCTATCAGTTTAACCACTTGTTTTAGACTTAGATGTAGGCAAATAGAGCAGTCGATTTACAGGCTTTCTTGTCCAGTGTTATAAGCAATTAAGCCATTATCACGTTGACGCGTGTTTTTGCCTCTGTTATGTGAAATCATGTTGTCATCCCGTTGGTTCGCTTTTATGGGGGAAGGGGGAGGGTGCTGTTAAACCCTAGGTTCTCCTGCCACACGGTTCATACCACAATTCAACCATTTCGAGTCATGCACTTTTGTGTTTTATCGTATGTGGCAATTCCCGTTTCATGGATGTACAAGATTGCTTGGTAATTTCAATCCGTCACCTCAACAGATCGATCCAATCGTAGCCAACAAAGGTAAAACAGAATAGAGCATTGCAAAAGGAGTGAAAAAACCATACGTGTAGGTAAATAGGTCATATTTAACGGTTATCGGATTCCAATTACACATAAGGATCATAGAAAACTATGAATCTTTCATAGTAATCAATACACAAACCCGGGTTCAAAGAAACAGATTGAGCAGCTTCAGACGTTCCATACTTACCTATCTTTTTCTTGTCAATGACTTACTTATATATGTTACTTTTCCATGATAAATGATAAAGCACCAAATTGCACAGATTTCGTTGTGTGTGTTTTAAAAGTATCCATCGTCTTTTATGTTAGACAACTTGATGTAAGCTAGTGAAAGTTGATCAACGTAAGGGATAAATAAATCTGGCTGTGACTGGCATGCTGCACTAAGCATTTTCATCGCAACATAGTTAATAGAATGGAAATACTTTAGTGTTGCTCATCCCAACACTGGCACCAGTGATAGGATGAGCGACACCATATTTCCATTTCACATACGGTCTTGTGATCGGAATGACCTAGGTCCACCTCAAGTGAACCGATGTCACACAGCAGATTCTCCAAGTCCAACTGAATAGTTAATGACTTTCACTGGACGAATCCCATACTCGAATTTACTAACTGATCGTAACACAGAGCCTGAAGATGTACTGCAACATGCTGCTTTGGAGTTTGAATATTTGAGTGTGCAGCCCATGTGTGGTAAGCGATTAGCTGACACCGAGGCCTGCTTCATGAAATCATAAGCAGGATCACAGTTGTTGGCAACTTAAGATAGATTGGTGCAAAAAATCTGTATTAGCTCACCATATTATGTTTTAAGTATTGTTTATCGCACTTGAGCATGTTTATGGTATGCAAATTTCTAAAGTCAGGCAGTGTTAATGTGCATTCACCAACGGTCTACCAGTGCATAAGCTATCCTAATTTATGCTTGTCGTTTACACATTTATGTCCAAAACTCATCCTCCTTAATCAGTACGATTAAACAGTAATGCTTAAACACAGTGAACACTTGGCCGTCACCGGTTACTCGCTTATCAAACTCATATATATATATATATATATCACCGATAGAATTAACATAACGTTGTTGCTTGCCTCATCCTATTGGACTGAGGTGTCCATGTTTAATTCCTTTGGTGAATACTAAAAGCCATGTAGCTAAAGAGTCAGTATGCCGTTAGTCGAAGCCACCGCAACAACTCGAAGAGCAATGACGGCATCTTGTTTGTCAAATGTTACAGCCATCTTTGTTCGGTTTGACAGCGTACGGCATCATGTGTTCTTCGCAAGCACACACGTGTATCGTTGGAATAGGTCCATGCAGGAGAATGCACCAATCACTGATGAGTAAGGCGTTGGACCAATCGCCTCCTGGTTTGCCGAGCCCCAAAGCGACGTACAAGTTCAAATCTTGACAAGACAGCCAATTAGTGTTTGTTGGTTTTAGCCACATACATCTGTGGTTGGCAATGGTCGTACGCCTGGGTAAACTGTACTGTTGTACAGTTGTGTCAGCGGCCCGAGGCAAGGAAATTCCAGAGAGTAAACGACAGAAACAGACAACCTGAACGCAGTCGTGGCTGCTAGTCTCATCTCGAAACTTGCAGCTTAGACTCTTAACTTTCTGCCGCGGAAAATTGCCAAAATAAAAAACAGTGTGGAACTATATATTTTAATTTCTACATCTCTAATGCAAGTATTGCACTACGTCATCACGCTCCTAACAATCGGAAGTGAGTTGGGTTCCCATGTTTTTAACCGAAAAGATAGCAGTTACGTTTTAGACTTATTTGATATCAGCTTAGTTTGTTGTGACAAAAATGTAGTTAACAACTCGGGCAGTCAGAATTTAAGTTATTTCATCGTCTGTAAGGAAACCGCGGCCATTTTTATGAATGTGTGGTTTATCACACCATAATTGGAGATGCATGCATGCTCACTGTTATTCATTGAATTTCAAAATATTTTGCTGTCGGTGTAAATTAGGAAAATTTAGAGACAAATTTTAAAACGTTTCACAATACAGGTGCATGTTTAATACTTAGCAGTTAAATGCTTAACAGTGCATAAATATTGCACAAGCAATTTTTGATAAATGATTCATTTCGTGTTCATTATTGTTACATGAAAACACCTGCATCCATGAAAATATTTCTCGACCGACTTGTATCCCTTCAGAAATTAGCTCAGGAGACGAATGAAATCATCTACTTCGGTGGTATTTAATGCTAGCAAATTAACCCTGTCACGGCCTCGCGAAAGGTGATTAGTGCCTTAAGGCTACAACAAAATCATAGGAATATTTGACCGCACCTTGTAAAAACATCAGGAAATGTGGTTAAGTGCACACATTCAAAGTTATTAAGAGCAGAGGTTAATTGTTATTCAAATCGGAATGCGTTTACTAACTAGCGAATTTTGGAAAAAGAATAAAACGCATTTGTAAAACCTAGGATATGCCTAAATATATACGAATAAATGATCACATCTAAGTATCTGAGGCACGATTACTCTTTGAAATCTGTCATAGTAACGTTGAAATTAGCTGAAACCTGGATCTGCAATCGCTGATATACGTGACAACAAATGCCGAGATATTTAGGAGATTTTCATGTATTCGAATAATGTACATGGTGCGTTAGAGAATCAAAAGATACAATACGGATGGATGTAATTACACAGTGCGTAAAAAACACTTAAGTAAACTAATTCGTACTGTACCATAGGAAAGCAAGGGTTGCAGATTCGAATTAATAGATCAGATCGCAATCAAAGTGGGGGAATGTGAAATTCCATATTTTATTGCTGATGATGAAGTAAGAGTCAAATACAAACCTTGAAAAATATTGTTGAAAAGGTCCAGTAACATCGGATCAAAAATGGCAGTTCCATATTTGATATACATGAAGTTCCGGTAATAAAAAATAAATCGTATCCATTCCTTGATGGCAAATTAGTAAACTTTGTTTTATATTTATTAAAAGCCAAAATTTGGTACCATACATCGATGTATACAAAGCAGCACATGTGTGCTTAAATTAGCATTCTGAGCTTCCTGATTGAGAGTCGGGTTGCTTCGGGCCACTAACATCATTTAACTTATGTTCAGCTAAAATTAGCCTCGTTCATCAGAAAAGGACAGCGAACATGTGGGAGAAATACCAGAGAAAATTTGTAAGGTTACCTCTGCTCAACTGTTAGTCTCTATGTTTATAAATCTGTTAAGATTAGTTTATAAATTTTCAGGCATTAGCAAATGACATTGTTATTCATTAGGTTACAAATTAATACCAGGCTGGTAACATGTAACTACATGGATTTGTTGTAAATATTTCACATGAATTGCTGCAAAGGCGAGTCATTTGAAGTGTAGGAGGTTTGCACAATGAATAGCAGCGCAATATTGTAGATTTTTACCATAAAACGCAAATCTGCAATCGGTTATTTACGTGGTTGAATATCAAACAAAAAATGGCTTTCATTTTTATTGATTAGGTGTTAGAAAGGCTATCAAGAGAATGTATATCCGAAACTAAATCCGTATTTAATGCAACGTTTATTGTTTGTGTAAACCTTGGCTATGTTATAGAGTATTTATTTTCGAACTACCTATTCTTCAAAGAATGCAAATTGAGGATTGGTCTCATTTTAGTTGAGGTGTTAGGAAACACACCTGACGAATGAGTACTACAAAAGCATGCATAGTACTATGTCTACCGAAGTTTAGAAGTCTTCGCTGCTTGATTTTAAACCCGCTAATTGGTAAATGCTGATTATTACTGGCATTTTGTTCAACATCCTGGAAGTGCAAGCTTAGACTAGTTCAGGTGATTTGTAGTTTTGCCTATCATCTCGCTAAGATTTTGCGTAATCCCAACAAGTAATGTAGTAACTGGCAACACGAAAACCCATAGATAGCATTCAGAGCGGAACTATCTGAATTTAAGATATCTAAGAGAATGAAAATATGCCTCAGCAGTAGTACGAGCTTATGAATTTCAAAATACCGTAAATGTTCTTATTTATAATACCGCCGCTGCATCGCTTTTAGAATCTGTTGGAATTTTTTACAGATGAGCATTATGTGTCTCCACTTTTTACTTAACTTTCAGGTTAAGTATCTAACGATAGCATGAAAGCGCATTTTTAAAAGAAATTATGCCTTCTCCTTTATATGCTGAGTTTGATTGTCATTGCATCCTTATGGTAGATGTTATTAAAGTATTCACCACATAATTGTACAAACGATCGATCCGACCTATGTTTGCGTCTCTCTTTAATAGTTGTAACATTTTAATGCTCCATCCACGCTGCTCACAAACCAAATTGATCAGACCTTAATCCGTAAGAGCACAAGAAGCGTTTCGCTATAGTGGGACGCGTCTGCGGTGCCCACTATCCGGTCCACTGCTGTGGATCAAACCCATGACCGCTAACAGCCTACGCCAACTAGTGAGCATTTTGTGCTATTGAGGGAACAGTGGCAGACCGTCTAATTTGCATGCTAACTGGAATTTGTACAAAATATACTCTAATTTCATGTAGGTTTCTATTTAATGTACCCAATACTTTGCTATTATTTAGAAGAATGTGTACCTGGAACTTGAGATATGCTCAAATGTTCTAAGAAGAACAATTTATGAAGTCATAAAAACGAAGACTTGTACTTTTATTTTCGGTTGCGCATTAAGCATTATGCATACATTTTAACTACTGTCAGGAAAAAATGATGAACTAAATTTTTTTTTTAAAAACATTTTTTGAACGGTATTTTTTTCAAAACCTCTTCAGGTATTTACAACAGGAAAACAGAAGGGCCGAGCACAACTAACTGATGAAGTCAAAGAAGTAGGAATAGTTTAACCACGACAAACTGAAACACAAGCCATGATCGATAAAGTCGACTAACAACACATGTGAAGGAACATGTGTTGGTTAATCAGTGGAATGCTAAGCGCATTATCCGATCACCGTACGCTCAAGAAATGATACGTGTTGGTAAGCCAAATAGGACCAGGGAAGGAGAAGCCATTACAGCAAAGCCTTCTGTTTGCATAATTCCGGTTGAAGTATCCTAATCGCTATCGTTTCATGCGTCCGTAAAATGTGCTTCCTAAGACCATTAGTGTATTGTCGCTGCACAGCCGCTGGGCATTGGGTCGCAATCAGTTTAGACAGACGTCTAGTTGAGTGTCCGACGTACCTTGCGTCACAGGCGAAGGTAAACTGATATAAAAGGTGTGAGTAGGACTGAACCGGAAGTCTGTCTTTAATGTGTTGGGCTATAAATGAGCTGTTTCTGCAAAGATGTGCGGGCAGTCGGTAGGGAAGGTTTAAATTACTGTACTGGCGATTCCTTTGGCCAAAGGATCAAAGGCAATATCACCACCGAAGGGCACTGATAGGAAGACGTCTTTCTTATGAAGGTAATAATCATTTCATGGTCATCGCAGATCACTGCATACCTTTTGATGGACGGCGTCGGGTAACCGTTGTCTTTCAGTGTTTTGAGAATACGAATCTTCTCAACTATAGCATTTCTTGGCTGCCAATTTCATAGCACGAAAATACAAACAACGAACAAGATTAGGTTTGTATCTCAACGGCAAAAACAGAGAATATGTATCTCGGCCTACACACGTGACCTTCCGCAATACAGTTCTGTCCAATACACAGTCGTCTCTTCGCCATAGCAACATGTCCAAGAAGGCTAGCTTACCATCACTTTCGCTTTCGAAGGTAAACATCAACGATTGCTGAACACCGTTTAATTGTTTTAACAGGTCGGATACATAAGGGTTTGCAGCCCAGCTTATAAACGTGTCATCCATATAACGACATTAGATATTAAATGAAGCGATGATGGGTCGTATACGTTCACGTTCAATCATAGCGAGGAAAATCTTAGCAAAGAGTGGTGCTAGGGTGGACCGCATCGCGACGACGTCAACCTGTTTGTACTTGACTCCTTTAAATAAGAAGTGTCGGTTGTAGATGCACTGTAAATTAATTCCTTCAGTTTCTCATCGGAATAACCACACATAATATTTTCGTTCTAGTAATCACATAAAAACTGGCTGTTTCCATCAGTTGAACATTCGTAAAAAGTGACTCAACGTCCAGAGAGAGCATCGGTTTGTCATTGATTTTCGTGATCATTTAACGAAATAAAATGTCTTTCACGGTGAATGTGCATAACTCATTGCATACTAGTTCGAGCAAACCCGCAAGCCATTTCGCAACCGAGTGACTAGCCGAGACTGAAATATCGATTAGCGGACACGGAGGAACTTGTGGCGTATTTACTTAAAATAGTCCATAAATACGTGGAGAATGAGAACTTATACAATATCATGTACCAAACAACGTCAACGAGTACGATAAAAACTACGTCGGACCGACTGGAAGAAAGCTTTGTGCACGAATCACCAAACACAAGACGGCCGCCAGGAGACATGATTGGCACTCATTGCTTTCCGTTCATGAAGATCAATAAGGCCACCATTTTGACCTGGAGAGTGTAAAGATGCTAGCTTGTGGAAGTACAAAACACGCGATGGAGTTCTTGGAAGCCTGGTGCTCTACAACGAATTCCATCAATCGACACATCGAACTGGACGCTGTGTACGCAATACTACTGACAAAAGACCGACATCGATCTGTTGAATCCGGTGGAAAGTGTTTTAGGCAACCAGAACTGACGAAAGACTCGCTCACAAGAGCAAGCCAACAT